AATAGGACAAGAGGAAATGGGCTCAAGCTGCGCCAGGGGAGGTTTAGATTGGATATTAGGAAAAATTTCTTCATGGAAAGGGTAGTCAAGCATTGGAACAGGCTGCCCAGAGAGGTGGGGGAGTCCCCATCCTTGGAAGCGTTCAAAAAACGGGCAGAGGTGGCACTTTAGGACGTGGTTTAGTCTAGTCTACCCTTGATTGGTTTAGTGTGGACTTGGTAGTGTAGGTTAATGGTTGGACTGGATGATCTTAAAGGGCTTTTCCAGCCTAAACGATTCTCTGCTTCTGTGATTTAATCCTCAGAAGTAAACCAGGAGCACCCCAAAATGGCCCCAGCAGCAATCACAGCGTGTTCCACAGAAGAGTGATGGGCAACCTATAGAACCGTTGTCTCCCACCTCTGACCTCCTCTCACAGCCATCTCTTCTTTTAGTTCTCTGCCATATGTGGTACATGGCTTGTGGCTCTTGGCCAGGAGGAAGATTTGTTACATATCCCATCAGTTCAGGGAAGTTATTGTGCTACTGAATGCTCTTTTGGTTTGTCCTGCACTGTGTAACATACAGGAGGTTTTCACCTCTTATTTTTCTCCTTACAAGATCTCGAGGTATTTACATCCTTGTTGAGCTCTTGGGAATAGAGATCATCTTTTCTCATGCTTGGACAATTCCTAGCTCAATACAGCAAAATCTTTTTAAATATTAATAACATTAATTATTATTAATAGCAAAGTCCTATAGCTTAATAAAGGCTCTTAACTTACAGTTTAAGAAAATAACAGGAGGAAAAAGAAAAAAATCTTTTTTTAAAAGACTAAATAAGCCCCAAATCAAACCTTTACAGCAGCTGTGTTGATTACGGTCCTGACTTTAAGACTCTAGGCCAAACAGACAAGTGGTCACACTTGGGTCAAACTCTACATTTACAGGTCTAAATTACAAGCTAAACAGGGATCTTTCTCCATTAGCCAACCAAGGAAGCAAGAGTATAAAGACTTATTAGTCAAGATACGTGAACTGAGGTTGGGGGTTTTATTATTCTAATTAGGAACAGGAAAATTCCTATTCCATTTTGTAATTAAAACAATACACATTCTACCATCTAATTATATTTGACATTTTCAAGGTGTTGGGAGCTGAAGTCTATAATTACAGAACTACTGCTGCCTTAAGCAGAACACTCCATAAATATTCATCTATTAAATAGCCAGTTATACTGTTTAGAAGACTTTAGAAACGTTAGACTTTTAGAAGACACATTTTATATTTGTATATTAGAAAAAGATAGGAAGAAAAATGTCCTGTGGGATCTGACATGCTGTATATAGCAAATTGACTATAAACCTATTAATTAGTATTGTAAGCAGTTACGTTGGAGATTCATAGCCCTTTAGAATTATTTCTTTTCTTTTAGCAGAATGGATAATTACAGTCAGAAATAATATGGGAGTCCTGTAGTGAAGTCATAAGACAGTAAAATGCAATTCTTACGATTCCTTGATTTTGTAATTAACAATAAAATTATAGCTTACATACAGTAGTTTTAAAAAAAAAAGGTATCTACATCTTTTTAGTGTCTCACAATAAGGTATCACTTCATGTATCACCTATTTCTGATAGTTCAATATTGCCATTTAAAACAGTTCCCTGCCTAAGAATACCATAATCAAAGTAGAGGTGGACTTGTGGGTAATGCAGAGCCTGTTGTTCAAGGAGAAGCTTTCCTTTTCTTGGCATTAGAGAAACGGAAAAACACACAATGACGATGAGACTCGGAGTGCAAGGTGCGCTATGAGTCTGCCTGCTCTGCATTTCCATTCTAGGAAATGAACCTTTGGGGACATCTAGATAAAAGGTCCCAATTTCTGAAAAGAAGGGCAAGAGGCACGTTGCCTGTTTTGTCCGTTTAGCTCAGTGGAATGGGTTTGTGTCCTGTTACAAGATGCTCTGCCCCATGGGACCCGGACCCTGGCGAAGTCATGAGGTATGACTTTCAAATAGTTAATAATAAAAGACATTGCAGACGTTTCAAGAGTTAAATGCTGTGCAGAAGTGGAGTTGCAATACGCGTGAGCTCAAATGCTGTGCAGAATTTCAGCGTCCCAGCAAGAGCAGCAGACAGTCGGTGCAAGCTCCCCGCAGAGCAGGGCGGCGTGCGCCGTGCCAGCCTTCTGGTCAGGAGGCCCCTTGTCCCAAACAGCTCCACAGGCTGCGCAGGCGGGTGTGGAGAGGAGGGCACCCAGTTCCACAACAATCTTACTTATTCCCGGAGTACCAAGACTTTATGGAAGTCCTCTTTCATCCCTGCACATCTGTATAATGACTAGAAACACTCTAGCCCACGATGACCGATGCATTATAGTCAATCAGGGACTGCATCCAGCAGGAAGTGAAAAGGAGTAGGATATGATGCATCCAGGTAAAGAACTGGACTTCCTCCTGCGATGGGCAGGAAGCAGGACTCAATTTAGTTACGTTGTATACAATTATCCCATACATATTATATGTCATACATATCATAGTTATATTATACATTACGTATTCATGTAGGATGTATTATAGAATCATAGAATCGTTTAGGTTGGAAAAGACCTTTAAGACCATCCAGTCCAACCATTAACCTACACTACCAAGTCCACACTAAACCAATCAAGGGTAGACCAGACTGAACCATGTCCCCAAGTGCCACCTCTGCCCGTTCCTTGAACACTTCCAGGGATGGGGACTCCACCACCTCTCTGGGCAGCCTGTTCCAATGCTTGACCACCCTTTCTGTAAAGAAATTTTTCCTAATATCCAACCTAAACCTCCCCTGGCGCAGCTTAAGCCCATTTCCTCTCGTCCTATCGCTAACTCCTTGGGAGCAGAGCCCAACACCCCCCTCCCTGCCCCCTCCTGCCAGGCAGCTGCAGAGAGCGATCAGGTCTCCCCTCAGCCTCCTCTTCTCCAGGCTGAACACCCCCAGCTCCCTCAGCCGCTCCCCACCAGCCCTGTGCTCCAGACCCTTCCCCAGCTCCGTTGCCCTTCTCTGGACACGCTCCAGCACCACAATTTTACATATTGTGTATGTTATATGCTATACCTAATATGTATATGCAATACAGTGAGTGCAAATATACATCCATGTTTGGGGTTTTTTTTTATATACACATACACATATATACACACATACTACTTACTGAAGCAAACTTGCTAGATGCCTGCTGTTATTTCTGTAATGCTCATAGCACTTAGCGATTCCAATACACATTCCCTCCCTTCCTACATAATCACAGCCTCTCTGCTCTGCGGCGTTACAATGCAAGCAGCTTGAACACAGATAACCAGAGAGGCAAAATTCTTCCATTCTCCGCCTTCTACAGATTTCGCTTAGAACCCTTTGAAGATACAACTCACCCTCTTCAAATCTGTCTTTCAGCACATCAAAGCTAAGCCGTTCTTTTCAAGCAAAAACTAAGTCGTATTAAAAAATCTTTCAGTGAAATTTAGCTAGAACCCTCCTTCTCTGACTACCCAGAATTACATTTTATGCACAAAAAGTCTGCATTTTAAAAGCCTGTTTAAAAATCTGAAAATGGCCAGTTAATGCAAGAAACCATTGTCCCTCTGCCATATATAGCAGGTTTTATACATCATTCTTCCAATATACATATTTATCCACTTTTACCTCTGCTTTTTTATTCCATTGTAGAATGGGATGAATGACATTGATTTTATCAATCAGTTATTTTTGTAAACGTGTACTGAGCATTGCAAGAATAATATAATCTAAGTATGCCCGAAATTATGTTAGGACCACCCCTGTTTCTCTTGATGTGAGGTGCTTGATGTAAAAGAGGAGGGTTTTTTTTCTCAAGAGGTGTGACACAGCCTTATCAGATTTTTATGATTCTATCTAAGTGAATCTATTTAGTGGTTGCAAGCTTTTACTTTTCAGCTGCAGCTAACAGTGAGGAAAAGTCAATGTGATTGCCATCTTAAGAAGAAGAATAAGAAAAGGAAGCAGATAGGCAGTTCACATCATATTATCCATAGGTACCTCCATTGCAGGGGAGACCCAGGGAAGGAGTCATTGCGTCTCGGCGGAGGAGCAGGCAGTTGTTCTAATGTTGCCTTGTTCAGCGAGGACTCTGGGAAATAACAAAAAAACATTTCTGAGCATTTACTAAGAGGATACAGAGAGCAATCACATGCTGCTGGTCACCTCGGAATGCCCCGATGCCTTTTTGCTATTTCTTCTCTTGAACGGCGTCCTTCCACAGAGGCTTACTGGTTGAATCTGTGCTTTCAGGAGCTGGTGGCAAGCTGGGGTGAATTTATCCCCCGAGGGGCCAACTTCGCTCTTAAGAAATTATTATGAGTAATTGCGAAGGGTAAAATCACTAAATAGCTAGAGGATGAAAGAATTGTGAACCATAGTCACCGTGGTTCTAAACAGACTGGGTCTTGCCAAAGTTAATTGCTTTTTTTGATAGAATTACAAAATGAATGTGCGAAGGCAGAGCAGTGTATTAGCACATATTTCGAGTCTAGGGAAGCGCTGGATACTGTTTTTCATTAACTGTTACTTTGAAACTTAATGCAAACTGGCTTTGATTAAACACTGTCATAGACATGACAAGAGAGCTGCCAAAGGACCAAACAGGGTGGTGATGAACAACAGAACACTGAGGCCTCACATGGGACTGCAGTCCTGGTACTTCCTTTTCAGAAAAAAAAAAATCAAAGTTTGTCTATTACTGTTTCATAGATGAAAAGGCTAAATTATGTGAGCTGAAGATGGGATTGGGTGTTTTGACTAGCTTGGTAGACAACAGGGTTATTTGATATCAACTGAATAGTATCATCTCTCCAGAGAATTAATTATTTAAAGACGGTAAAATGGATATGACAAGGAGCAGTGAGATGTAAATAGCACACATCACAAAGATTTATTAACAGACTACGTTGTCTTTGCAAAAGCATTGCTATTCCATTTCCAAACAGTAATTTGCTGCTTTCTTCTCTTCTAGTTGCCCATATTGGCATCTTCTGTTGTTAGCCTCTATTTTCTTGAACTTACTGATGTCTTCAAGCCAGTTCACTCTGGATTTAATTGCTATGACAAGAGTCTGAGTATGCCATACATTGAACCTGCGCAAGAGTCTGTTCCCTTCTTGATGTTGCTTAGTCTGGTTTTTGCTGGACCATCAATTACGGTAAGTTTGAGGTGCCACTGGCACTTGTTAAAGATTTTGAACAGCGCTTCAGTTGGCATAAAGAAAATAGCTCCTCTAGTTTCAGTTAGGCTGCAGGGTGTCATCCAGGCTAATTACCTTAGGATTTTAAATTCATCTTTTATTCTTCTGTAACAGAAGGAGACACACTCCTTAAAACATTCCCTGTAGCGCTTCATCTACTCGCACTGTCCTGGTTGCGGGCATTAACGTTAAGAAACAGCACCTACTGTGTGTGAGAATAGCTTGAATCATTTTGTTATGCTGTGCGAATTTTTGAACTTTTACAGACAGGACATCTGAGATACACCAAAAATTCAAGATTTTGTTGGAAAAGGAAGCCTTTCATTTACAGCCCTGAACATGCCACTTTTGTTAGAACGGGCTTTATTCAGCCAGCAGGTATATCAGCTGTGTCAGTGAAATCAATTACACACTTTCCTAAATAGCACTGGGACTCCTAAATTGCGAGGTAGTCATTAAGAGCAGGCAAAAGGAGGCTGGTTTAATCATTTACCCAAAGGGAGGCGGTGATTTCAGCAGAACACAAATGTCCTGTCAGAATATGAGCAGTTTGGTCACTATTTTACGGAAAAAAAAATATCAATTGTGTGATACCGGTGAGTACCGTCCCTGCTGGAATTGCTGTGTCAAATTAAAATGAAATCTAAAGACTACCTTTCTGTATATACTAGAGGAAAGTCATTGTGTCTGATTTTAGGCAGCTCAGATAGGAGCCTTATTCTCACACCACTCCTTTTTGGCAAATGGAGAGAGAAATTCACCTTGAGTGGGTGATTCCTGAAAAGCTGAATCAACCTTCTGCAAGGGTCCCTTCTCTCCCTGGACAGCAATGACGGCGCATCTCAGGCACTTCTCTAAGGCCAGCTGCAAATGTATCTCTGCTGACAGCTCCTCTGAATTCCCTTAAATTCAGCCAGATCGTTACTTTTGTAATACTAGCCAATTTGCAATTACAAAATCTATAAAATGGGGTGCCCATATAAAAATCATCAAGGGCTGTTCTCTCTGCTTTCCAGGATGTTTTTTTGTTTATTTCTCTTTTTTAAAATGGAACTCTTCTTACCGTGTTTGATTTTGGTTGCTTTAGAAGCCATTTGAAGGGTTTGCACAACCATCAGGCTGAAAATTGTACTCATTTAGGAACTGGGAGCTAGGACTCTCAGTGTTCCTGGTGCAGACGCTTCCAGCAAACACCAAATACTGCGATAAAAACAAACCTTGTTGGCATTGCAGTTTGGCTGGGTTTCTTAAGTTTAGACAGTGTTTCTGATAATAACGAAGTGGACTTTCCTGAAACAACCATAGAAGGAATCTATATAGGCTCACTTGGGCCACAGTAGAGGCGTAAGAGCTGCTGTTTGCTTCAGAGGGTTTATGTCAAGCCTGGGTAATACCAAACACCTTCAACTGAGATGAAAGGTGCCCATTTCATTACAGAGTGTTTGGTAAGGGCTTTCATTACAGCTGAATTATTTCAGCGTTGCATGAAATTTTGCAATAGAAAATGTTATTCTTGCTTGAATCACTCTCCTACCAGTAGTACAGACAACTAAGCAAAACCATGCCATGTGAGGAACTCAAACCCACACGTGAGCATGCCTATCAAACATAAGATCAGTAAAGAAGGTAAATCCTGTAGCTTCAAAGTACAGCTGCTTAAAAGCTGCAAGCCCTAGGAAGGTGTAGTTCATTTTTAATTGAGCATGAACGTGATGCTTGTATTAGTTGGAGAATGGGCTCTGATAATGTGAAATACACAACCTCCTTCAATAAAAGGCACTGAAGATGGTGTAGAGCATCAGCTCTTTATTATTCAATACCACTTCTGAAGTAAAAAAACAGGGTTTTTTTGGTCCAATTCTCCCCTTTTTCTTTGGAAAAACAGGCCAATGAAGCTCAATGCAAAAAGATTACAATTGTGCAAATGTCATCTTGTAGAGTTTAGCGTTTTATAATTTAGTTTTCATTAACATTTCAAAGAATTACACACTGTATAAAACCTGTAAGATATAGAAAAGAAAGCGTGAGCTGTGTGAGGAATTGAGGCTCTCCAGTAACGCAGCATATGCTAGCCTCTGTCTGCAGTTCAGGTACTTACTGCAGCATGAGCTAGAAGGTCATCAAGAGTCAATAAAATACAGCTGTGATTAAGCCACAGTTTAAATATTACCAAAGAGTGTAAATAAAAAATTAAAAAAACCCATGGGGGTGGGGGAGAAGACAAGCAAACTCCAGTCTCAATCCCTCCTTAAAGCCTTATATAAATATTAGAATAGGACTTACTTTTTTTCTACATTGTTTTTCTTGATATACTCCGTTTTTCCCCAAGACTGGGGAACATATTCAATCTATTCACTTTATAGTAAATTTTTTTACAACAAATCTAGCATTTTGTAATTTATTTTCCAAAGCCATTGTTACAGAAGGATCTGTGTGGATATGAAGCTTTATGGGTTTTTTTTGTATCCTTTGGGTTTTTTTGCTTGTTGTTAGTGAGCAGCAACTGCTTTTAACCAGGTCTGTTCTGTAGCCCTGAAGTGCTACAGAAAATCACTACCTGCATTATTGATGTATGTCTTACAGCTTGTGGCATATATGAAATTTTCTATATGTATTTGTAAACCACAGGAGACTTCAGTGTGGAACAACTGGGCTTGTATGAAATCACTAACATGGATATTTTGTGTCTGGAATATAGATAGACCTGAATTGCAACATGACTTCCATTTGCTTTAAAGAACTCAATCTGATCTTCTGGCATATTTTCACTCTAGTTATTCATTCAAAAATGTTAGGACCAGTTATTTAATCATATCAGTGTAGGTTCAAACCCTTTATCAGTGACTGACTAAAAACCTACTTAAAGGTAACAATGTGCTTTCTAACAGAGATTGCCAGGAAATTAGATCACATTGATTTGGGAAATCAATTAGCAAGGAGAGAAATTCCTGCTGGCAGTTTCAGTCCTGCTGCCTCTTCTACTGTAGGAGTTTGTTTCCTTGGAAATACCAGCCTCTGAATTTTCCTTGACATAGGCCTTGCTGTTTCCCAATTTTCTCCTCTACACACAAGCTAATCCATCTCTCTGCTGTTTTTCCCTATGCCAGACATTCCCTAGAGCTTGGCTAAAAACTATCAGAGTTTCTCTGTTTTTTAAGTTCAAAATACTTTCTCCGGGAAGTTTGAGTTGTAAGTGGACCAAATGGAGACAGATAATAGCGACCATAGTTCTCATATAAGTAAAATTCCTTAAATAACCCTTGCCACTGACTTTTCCATGTAATGAGACAACCTTCACTACCTCAATTTTTCTGGCAAAGAAAGGAAATTTCAATTTATTAACCCTTTAGCTAAAGAAGAGTTAGACTAAGCTCGTCTGTTGTATCTCCCTTCTCCTAGGGTGAGGGGTCTTAGCATGGACAAACGTCACTGGTAATTACAGCAGGTTCAGCATAGTTCAGATGCTTTAGCATCTCACTGCATTGTAAGCTTTGTGCATTGCAGATATTAGTTTTCAATGGATAGATAAGGTGAACCTCCTCTTAGTGGTGGGAACTGCCTCATTCATTTCAATATTTCAGCCCAACCCTTATGCTGAACTCTGTACAAGCCCTGTACAGATTTCCAAGTTGTTGCGCTATTTAACAAGGAAACCAATCAAACATGAGACTGCAAATGTATAAATGGATCTGGATTTTCCAGCAAGTAACACCATTTTTCATTTATAGTCTTCTCCTTATTTCTATTATAAACTCTCGTCTAGGGCTTCAGTCATCATCTGTTTTGCTTGGTGTGTTCAGAGGGACCATAAGGACAGAACTTTTTCTACTGCTGTGGATCTGGTTAAAACCCAAGCCAAATTAAACAAATACAGAAGAGCAGGCTGCCGCGTAATTAGAAGCTGCTTGGGATTGCTAGGCTTGAGGCCAAGACTGAGTGCTAAAACCACCTCAGGAGCACTAAGATATTGCAGTGGATCTGGATTATTTTAGGGGCGAGATTTTCTAATTATTACGTTTTCATTGTAGCAGCATCAGATTTCAGCTGTGGATGAAGACCCCGGTCCCACTGAGCACTGTATGCTGCATGCCACTTGCATTTCGTTTCAGCGCTGCCTTCTTGCCTGCCCTCACTCAGGCTAAGTTGCATTACTGAATGTTTACATATTGATACAAATCTTTTAGAGGCGAGTACGCGTCAGTGGATGACATTGGTTGTGCTGTAGTTATGTTTCAGCCCTTTAAATTCAATCAGCGTCTTCTGAGTAACTGCTACATTTAATTTAACGGCTCCTTTGTCATTGCAGATAATGATAGGAGAAGGAATTCTCTACTGTTGCCTGTCCAAAAGAAGAAATGGGATTGGAACAGAGGCCAATATTAATGCAGGAGGATGCAACTTCAATTCTTTTCTTAGAAGAGCTGTCAGATTCGTTGGTGGGTTTCAAATGTTAGTCACAAAGAGCTTTCCATGTACATTCAGTTTTCACCATGCAGGTTTCCTTCTCTGAAACAGCCTTTCAGAACAGTGCAGGGCTGTCACTGGCATAGACCTTCTTGTGCCAGAAAATGCAAGAAGAAACTGTCAAATGGAGCTACAGAGCAGCCCCATATTCAGCAATGCAGCATCTACATTCTCTGTTTTCCCTTTCCTCTCCTTTGCTATTGTCAGTGTTTCTAAAAGAATAATTTGGTTTTTCTTCTCTGCCTGCCTTGAGCTGGCTCCCTTTTAATGGTTTCACCGTATAGCTTCCCCTCCTGTCTTCAGTGCATCAGAAGGATTCAACCCACCTGACACAGCGTTCAGCATGACAGTAAAAATTTGTCAGAAACTGTCAGTAGATTTGACATTGTTTTTCTGGGATGTGTTTATCTGCCTCTTGAAAAAAGGGCTAGAATCTAGCAACCTAATGACAGAGAGGAACATGTTGAATTGTTTTATTTTACTTTGGTTTAATTGTCATTTATGAAAACTGAACCTGAAGAGGCAACTGGACTTTGTTCCCCTTCTTACAGTTCATTTCCCCTGCCAATGAGTGGCTAAAGGAAAGGTTTTCTCTGTTCCAGAAATCTTGCATGAGGGAGGGCAGCCTAGGCACAGATGACCTGCAGGACAGCAGACTGAAAACGTGGTAGGAGGACTGTACGCGAGGTTTCTGTAGCCTGGCTAGCAGGGAGGCAATGACAGGAGAGGTTGTACGCTCTGTGACCAGCAGAGCATCCTCTTAAGAGCCGCAGTGAGGAAGTGAGCAGAGGGGATGGGAGGTTACGACGTCGGCAAGGAGGACTGTAAAGATACGCCATGCGCTCCACTTCTCCTCTACGGCATCCCATTCCGTCACCAGAAAAGACAAGTCCAAAGATGCATGAATTTAATTCTTGATTCCTGCTCTGATTCGCAGTTTCTTTCATATTTTAGTGACTTTAGCATTCTTTCAATTTTAAGATGAAAAATAAATTTATTTATATGAATAGAAGTAGGGGATAAGAGGTAAGTCTTTAGGGGAAAAGCAGTTGAAAATGCTCAGCAAAACAACTGCATTTACTTCAGCTGCCTTATGAATTTGGCATTATTAACCAGACAGAAACATTGATCAATTACCAAAACGACTTAAATATTTGGACTCGTGGCAAAGACTTGGTACTCAAGAACTATCAGAGGTGTGAAGGTAGCCAAAGTTATTGCCAGCTGATGAGTCCCTGCTAGTAAAAAGAGAACAGATCCTCAGAGCAGTGATCTAATGTTATTAAAAGCCTGTATCCCCGTGGGCAAGTCCAAGGAGTGGATGAGCACATATGCTCTCCTCAAATAGTTGGCTGTCCTTTCGTCAGTTCAGAAAACTGCTTTCCAAACTGAAGCAGCTCCAGTGTAGTTCACTTTTATGAAAAGATGTCGCAGGACATCAAGCCATCAAAATGAAATGTTAAGTATCAACAGGAAGAAACCAAGCATAAATAATCTTAATTTTTTACATTAAAGAACTCAGCTTTGCAATAAGCTTTCATAAAAAAAATACATCTTATTCTTCAGTTAAATTCTCTCAAGTCCAGTGACACAAGCCACCAGAATTCTGTTGAATGTGTTTTGTCACAATGAATTCATCTAATTTATGCATATAATAAAGTTAACAAGCTCTATCGGTTTCTTTCCTAGGTGTTCATGTGTTTGGTCTTTGTTCTACTGCTCTTGTTACTGATATTATACAGCTATCAACAGGATATCAGGCACCATATTTCCTCACTGTTTGCAAGCCTAACTATACATCCTTAAATGTATCCTGCTCAGAGAATTCATATGTTGTGGAAGATATTTGCTCAGGAGCTGATCTCAATATTATCAATGCTGGAAGGTTGGTTCTATCCTTCATTGTGTACATTTTTAAGTATTCATTTTTTTATTTTCTGTTTCAGTTTCAAGATTTTTTTTCTAGTTAAAGTCTGAATGAGTTTTGTCAGTTTTCATAACAAAGGCGAGAGCGTGAGTGTCTTTTTAGTGATGTTCAGTTTTCCGTGTAAAGATATTAGCCCAACAGTGGGCTTTGGAAGACTTTGTCAGATTCCGAAGCACAGGCGTTAGTAGCTAGTTATTTTCCCTCCTTCAAAGGAGACAATTTCCTCTACAATTATTAATACATATAGCTTCTACTGCTTTTCCCAGTGGAATCTGGGTAAGTTGCCCATAACAGGCAGGGGCAGAAGACTCCCAAGTACTTTATCCAAGACCTCTGTATAACATACATTGCTGTTCTGGCATTTTGGTCTTAGTTCTGGTTAGGCTTGGTTTGGGGATTTGTCAGAGGAGTTTATTTGTTTTCTGTTTCTCTAGTTGATTAAGTTTTTTACATTGACAGCATTGAAAACATCCCTTTATTAGAGGAAAGACCACAACAGGCAAATCTGTGTGTTCCCAAACACATGCCTTTTCTTTCACGGTATTTCTAACTGGTGGTTTATCCTCCTTGATCATTTAGTCTGTAGCCTCCCTACTTAGATAGCCAGGAAGGAAATTAATATTGTTTATAATAGCAGGTTTTGGACATGAGTATCAGTCAAGTTGAGATATAAACCAGACTATATATCTTATTTTAAACAAGCACCATGTGATAAAATAGCGATAATTCAATTACTGACGACAGGTCATAGATTTAAACAAGGAATCTGAAGGTGTAAGTCAGTAAGTTGTACTGTTCCAACACATCTGCTCCTCATTAGTTCAAGGACTTCATTAGTATGAAGTGTCCTAAATATAAGCACTATGCAACTGAGAAATCATTAAGCCCTTCACTGAATACAACAGTAGTCTTCTGTATCTTTCCCACATCAGGTTAACCTTTATTGCCTGTTAGTCATTGCATGTTTGAATGTTTTGCAGTCCTTCCAAATTTTGGTACTTTTTAAAATCTCCTGCTTTCCAAAAAAGTTACAGCAAAATTATAGAATGCTTGCAATGACTACAGTTTCGGTCTGTGAGTCAGCTGCATAATTTCTCTTGTGTATCTGATTAGTAGACATGAAGCTGTGTTACTTCTGTCACATCCACTTCCCTAGGACTTTGCACTCCTTTCTTGTTCTGTATGCAGCCCCAGGTGCTAGCTTCTGTTTTAACTTTATGCCTCACGGCATTACATTTTTGTCACATGAGTATTATTAAAATGTTCTGTCTCTATATTAAGGCACCTCTTCCCCAGTTTGTTTGCTTTTCCATTTATTTCAATGGTTGACACACTTGGGAATCATGAAGTCATTCACTTTGTAAGTATCTTCCAGCAAATCTCGTAATCTGTCTCCTTTCACTGGGACAAAACAATTTCACTGACGTTTAAAGACCCTCAATTATTTGATGTATTTGGTCTTAAATATGTCTAGTGGGCTAAGACTCATAATTAACATTGATTAATTTGCCATATCTTTTCAATTTACATATGTGGGCATGATCCGGAGCTGGAATGAAGGATTGTAGCTCTGTTTGGCCCAAATAATTTGGTGACAATAATTTTGGTGAAAGGCATAATGGGAATTATATCAGCCTTCACCTCACTGTCTCTTTTCCCAGAACCATTTGCTGTTACTGGGATACTGCTGTTGAGGCCTGATGCTTGCAAGCAGTGTCTTGCACCTACGTGGTGTCCCAGGGAAATCGGTGTGGCTTCACACGTGAGCAGGCAGAAAAACTTTCATGATTACATCTCATTTGTTCCACCATCATCTCAAATATGGTGCCTCCTGCTCTGAATTGACTGCCTGTAGCCATTCCAAAAATGCTGATCACTCCTAAGTTTAAATATCATCATTTCTAAAAAATAGCAAAATTAGTTGTAACATATTAAGACTAAGCAATCAGGTTTTGTGTGTTTCTGTTTCTTTAGGAAGATGACCATATATTGATATCTCAAATTTATTCCCATCGTAGAGGATACATTTGGTGATCTATAATATTCTGGCAGCACCCTCAGTTTCTCCTTAATTCAATTTTATTGCATTTTTCCTTTATTAAATTATTGCTTCCTTATGCCTGTCTGAACTTTACCAACGCGATCAGCACTTGCTACTGGTTCAATACTTCCTTCAGTCATCTACTGTAAGAGTTACGGTATAACTTCTCCAGCCCTAGGAGGTTAATTTGACTTCAGTAATTTCAGCTTGTAAGGGACTTGTTCTGAGATTGCTAATGACCTTCATTTTTTATTTGTACTTCCCAGAAACTTTGGCTCCAGAAATTTGCCTCTATGAAAAGTATAGAGAAGAACACATAATTATCCAGCTGATTATATGAAATCATTTTCTGCAACATCCCCAAATATCCAGTGGTTTCCTTTGTCCATCTTTTCCTCTATTTATGTTCAAAGAGCCTTTTCAGTCATTTCTATTCAGATCTCCAGTGAGTTCTCTATCCTCCGTCATTTCTGATGTTCTGACTCAGTATGACTCCCTCTCTCTCAATATGATTCTTTCTCATCGTTGTTCCCCCTCTACACATCCTCATGCGTGAGCATTTAGTGATACAGTGTCATCTGAGTTCGGGACACATTTTCTTTGAGACTTTTGTTCACCTTTTCAATACAGAGCCATACAAAAAGGCTACATCTTTTTAGCCTGAATTATTTTCATTTTAGATTAAAAGATAACAAATAGAGGAGCAAAAGCAGGATCACCATTCGAGAGTACACAGAGTGCATTTAGTCTGTAACAAGCTGTGCTTGCCCTGAAAGCGTATGAATAGAAAATAGAATAAAGAGAAAATTGACTGTAGCATAGTGATACACCTTATATACTATAAAAATGCCATCAAATTAAGGTTAAGTTTTGAGTGGTACTAAAGTTCATAGAATCAAATCTACACATTAGCTCCACAGAGACTGTAAGTAGATTTATGCTTCCACTAAAACCTGCACAGGGTAAAGGAGTTGATTAGCCACTATAAACATCTACATTTTTTCATGTCTTTATCCGCCTGTCCTCAACCCTGAACTTGTTCCCTAGGGATACTATTTGTGAAAGGTTTGGCAGGGGGAGGAAAAAAAAAGAAGAGGAAGAATTTAGGTCTGTCTTTAGAAATGAAAGAGGAATCATGCCGATATCATCCTGGCCAGAGTCATGAACCTCCTGGAGCCATGGGCTCAAATTCAGGTCAGCGGTGTGGCATTCACACTGAACTACTTGCACACCTTTAATTGCCAATGAATTATTTAGAATAGGCAAGGCAAAATGCATAGGAAAGAAATGTAGGAAGTAGGCTGCTGCTTTGCAGAAAAATATCTTTGTCCTGTAAGGACAGTTTCAGTCTTTGCTATTTTAAACTAGCTACTGGAGGTGCTGCTAGGAAAATGGCTATACGTGGAGCCCAGCTGGCGTGGCAAGCCCCAGCTGCGAAGCTGAGTGATTGTTCATATCCCAAGCTGAGCTTTCTCAGGTGGAAGTGGCTGCGGTGACTGCAAGACAGACCAAGACAGCCAGCACATTACATTACAAATCCATGCCGTTTTAAGGAGATAAATGTACAGATAGAAACTGCTATACATCTTCACTGCATCTTACTGGCTTCTAGAGCTCAGAGGTCGTAGAATTTTTTTAGGGCTTCTACAAGCTATGAACCAGATGTCTGCCATAGAACAGGTGTTACTGAATCCACCCCCAGCTAGGCTTTTCCCTCTACTGTGTAAAAATCTCTCTTTCATGTTCCTATCACTTTTCTTTGGTTGTTTTTAGAGGATTGAAATGGGTCTGTAAGAATAATAATGCCAGAGGGCCTCATGTGATGGTTCTGCGTAGCTGCTACTTACATAAAACCTCCTTTTCTTGGTCAGAGAAGTAGACGCTAAGCTGTCACTTTTAGTTTTCATATCTAGTGTTTCTGACTCAAGACCCAGTCCACATCATTCAAGTCCCCAGGTTTTCAGTGGGAGTAGGGGGCCTTCAGCAATTTCAAGAGTAGACCTGATATTGCCTACTGTCTCACACAGTTTGTACATATTTTCATTTACCCTCTTGTTCTGGGCTTCAGGAAGGGGCCCTCTCCATGTTCTTGTGCTCCATTCACTCCTATCATGTTACAAAGTGTTGAAAGGAAATGTTGAGAGGAAATGGGCTTAAGCTGCACCAGGGGAGGTTTAGGTTGGAAATTAGGAAAAAATTCTTTACGGAAAGGGTGGTCAAGAATTGGAACAGGCTGCCCAGAGAGGTGGGGGAGTCCCCATCCCTGGAAGTGTTCAAGGAACGGGCAGAGGTGGCACTTGGGGACATGGTTCAGTCTGGTCTACCCTTGATTGGTTTAGTGTGTGCTTGGTAGTGTAGGTTAATGGTTGGGCTGGATGATCTTAAAGGTCTTTTCCAACCTAAATGATTCTATGAAATTTAAAAAATAAACCTGAAGACACAGCAAATAAAGATGTAGTTTGCCCCTCTCTGAGAAGAATGCCACCCTGTCATCCCCTCATTATTAGAGCAACAAAGCAGGGGCACGACGATGATGAATTCAGCTGCTGAAGTTAGGGCCCGATTATCAAAGTGTCTGAGTCCTTACTTTGGAAAGAGTCCAAGTGAAGTCAGTGAGAATAATCATAAGATCAAGGTTCATGCATTAAGTTGTATAATTAAGTACTTACTGAAAAGTTATTACGGAAATTTATTTGTAGAAATAAATGTATAGATAATTCTCTCAATCAGGCATTCAGTCTTTAGCTCGTTCCCACTGTTGTCTTAGTATACACGCTTTTCCAGGTACACAAAAAGAATTTCATGCTAAATATTTACTTAAAAACAAAGGCGTTTCATTAACATTGGTCCTTTCTCCAGATTATAGAAAAGAAATTTAGAAATTAAATGTTACTGATCGATGATATATTGCTTAGGAAGCGTAAGCTGAAAATGACTGTACCACCCAGTGTTTTTTTCAAGTGAACACTAGCACAGTGTTTTTGAACTGAGAAGCATAATTTGAGTGTCCTTCCTTGGCAGAAAGTCATTCCCTTCTCAACATGCCACCCTGGCAGCCTTTGCAGCAGTGTACATTTCGGTGAGTAACCAACTCTGTTCGCTTTCATTTATACAAGACAAAAGTCAGAAAGTCATTTGCTGTATATTGTAAAGTGATGTGTTGCCTGGGTATCCTGGATGGACGTAAGTTTTTATCCTCCCAGTTTGAAAGCAAAATGAAATGACTGACAGCTAAAATAAACGCAGCTCTGTTAAGAGTACAGAAGAGATTCAACTGCTTCACATGCTTTGTGAAGAAGCAACAAAAAGCGTAATGTTAAAGTCTATTTGATGCCTCATATTATTCACAGAAAAAACGCAGTGCTTATCTGTCTTACAGGGTGATATTTTAACTTACCGTTCAAATTAACCTTTACGTGTTCTGCCTTTTCTTTATTGCTGTCTTCACTTGACTCGCTGCTTTTAAACTTGAGGCATTAAGGAGCAAACATTTATGTGATGTAGTTTCATTTGACCTCCGTAGAATTGCAGCATGGATGAAGTGGCACCATCGCTCCCAGAGGCCTCCGAGGTGCTACTGCAGAGCACGTGAACAAAACCCATCAGTAACTAGCAGGGAACTGTAGGACATGCTGCAGCGATCACAGCTGATTTTCCACATCTGACCAATGACATTTCTTCAGTATGGGCTACAATTTTTGTATGAGTGACCACTCACTTCAAGTTTAAACAAACAAACAAAAGAGTAATTCCGTCACTCATGCTGTAAAAATTAGGACATGCTGCAGCGATCACAGCTGATTTTCCACATCTGACCAATGACATTTCTTCAGTATGGGCTACAATTTTTGTATGAGTGACCACTCACTTCAAGTTTAAACAAACAAACAAACAAAAGAGTAATTCCGTCACTCATGCTGTAAAAATTAGGACATGCTGCAGCGATCACAGCTGATTTTCCACATCTGACCTATAACATTTCTTCAGTATGGGCTACAATTTTTGTATGAGTGACCACTCACTTCAAGTTTAAACAAACAAACAAAAGAGTAATTCCGTCACTCATGCTGTAAAAATTAGAGGATAACCGGTTGTTACTGTTGTTTATCAAACTAGATAATGGAATTGCGCATGTACTGGGAGCTTGCCAGTATTTATTCTGCCCAGGGAAAGGCCAAAATTTGGAATAATACCGATGAACCACCTCCACTTAATTTTTGTGACCTCCCTGGCATCATGGCCCCCAGTTGAGAAATTACTCTCTAAAGTACCCGGTGGTAGCTTCTGTTAGAACAGGTTATTGCTTTCATCTGGCATGACATCTGGCTTCTGTGTTGCAGAAGCGGTGGCTCCTTAGTCACATTTAGGCTCTGACTGTGAACAGTATTTAGGCATAAAATCCTTATCCTAATTGATGTCAATAAGCAACACTGCCTATGTTTCTGGAAATCCATTCCTTGTGATTTCAGATCTTCCTACTCTAAGTGAGCAAATTTAACAGGGCTGTAAAATTAAATTAAACTGATTATTTGCAATAGTACTGTGTAGTAGTGATCTATGCATGAAAGAAACATTGAATGTGAGAAATTAATATCCTCTTAGGTAAATTTAAGTTTCTTCAACTGCTTCTTCATTTCTTTCTTTTTTCAAGATGTACTTCAATTCTACATTAACAGACTCCTCAAAACTTCTTTCTTGGTCTTTGCTTTTATCATCTGTGGAATTATATGTGGTCTGACTCGTATCACCCAGTATAAGAATCATCCAGTTGATGTTTACTGTGGCTTTCTGATAGGAGGAGGAATTGCTCTCTATTTGGTAAATATGAATATTCATGTAGTTAAGTTTTAGCAAATAAAACTGCTAAGGCTGTAATAAGAGTACTGGTATTTTGTATTTGGTATTTTGACCTTTCATCATGGTCACATGCCATAATTAAAATATAGTCAAAATGTGTTGAAGATGATGACGCTAGGGGTAATTGCTTTAAAAATAAACAGGAAAAAGCAAATATGTATTTAAATTTAAAGTGCCATAACAGTGCACAGTGGTATATAATCATCTGGCATTGTATACGGCAACGGCTCTAACGTTATGTGCTTCATTAAATACTTAAAGATACTCATCTTTTCTCCTCCACGCTTACAAGCATAACGCAAGAAAAATATTGGATTAATTGGTATTTGTTGCCAGCCTGAGTTTATATTGCCAATGTTAGCTTTATGATCTCAAAAAAATGGTTGAATTAATATGCAGCAACTCAGCTGAGTAAATCACTGAACCTGCAAGAAATCAAAGGCAATATAACACCCTTGGAATTCTTTGGAGCTCTTGGGGAAATGATGCAGGGGAAATAGGATGCCCAAGCCAGGCTATTCCTATGCTTTTCCCCTGTACTGGGTTGAAAGAGATGGAGCACCTTGGAAGGGTCCTGTAAGGAGTGCGTAGGACAGACCTGGTTGTATCTGTCAGTAGGAAGCTCACCAAGCATTTGCTTTTGCTTGCTGCTCTCAGCGCGTCTCCAGCGTGACTGTTGCTGCCCGAGCTGTTCAGCACAGTGTCAGCCCAGGTGCCTGTGAGCAGTCAGGAACTTCTACTGACCACATTTTTGCTCCAGTATGGGCAGGTGAACAGAAGAGTCTTAACAGCCAGTGGGATGCTTCTGACCCCCAAGAAGTCAATGATGACTTTTAGTATAATACTAAAATGAGTTTTGTATCCTATCCCTATTTTTTCTGTGATAAAATCATCTAAGGTACATGCAGATGGTCTACAAAGGTGACCAGGGGAAAATTGGCTTTCGGAGTGGCAGAAGAAACAGCAACCAGGGTAGATAATAGAAGCCCCATGAGCTACTAAAGTCAGTTGCTATGATTGCACTGCGAGCAGAAAAGCACTCTGTTGAGAATATTATTTCAAATGATTAAGCTGTTATAGACTCTCATAAATGGAGCTGTTGTTCCCATGTTTGAAATCCGCAAACAAGTATGCTCTTTGTTAGGTCTTCTCCATATACCGTTGCACGACAGCATACATCAGAGAGCACATTGTCCTGGATACCCAGTAGTCAGTAAATCTGCCCTGAAAATGACACGCCAATAAGAGAAAGGGGAGGGGAAATAATGTAAAACTACAAATAACTCTGAAAGGAGTGTAAAGAACAAGTAACCTGTAAGTGATTGAGTCAGGCATTTGACCCTTTCCTGGAATATTCTCTCTCAGTGGAGTCTTCTTAAAATGACAGCATTTTACAGCGAGTCTGCTGAATAAGAAAATGTTGTGTAACTAAATCTTGTTACAGTTCTGCGCAGCTTGGAAAGCAATTGATTTAAAGTTGATAAATTGTTCTATCATGTAGATATTGTATTACATGGTTATTATGCAGTAGAAAGGGCAGAATCACAGAGCACAGAACAACTCAAGCTGTAACAAGATTCAGTAAATCAGAGCAGACAGTAGCGTAGCTGTAAAAGAGCTTTGCCTAGAAGACTGCAAACATTTATTTTGTTATTTTCGTAACAAAACATTCTTTCTTCAGCTGTATCTGTTGCTTTATAAAATGAAGAAAATGGAAGGAGGCTAAATCTTTTCCTCAACTGTTTATTGCCATGAACTATGTGCACTGGTTATCCTACTGAGACTACTTCATACTTATCTAGATGTACCAGACTGAGGACAGAATTTGGAATAAGGATATACTGGTGAGGAAAGGAAAGTGAGCATACCCTGTCAGTTAAGCTGGACTAATTCTATCACTCAATATTTATTCAAAGGCAGAAGAAAATAATTAAAATACCATAAAATGTCTCTTTTTTCCCCTAACATTGTTGATGCTTCTGTTCAAATATCAGGGCCTGTATGCTGTGGGGAACTTCTTACCAAGTGACGAGAATGTGTTTCACCCAAATTTTCACAGAGAACCTCTAAGGTCTTTGACAGACCTCAGTCAAGATGCCAACAGAATCCTGCCAGGTAAAAATGGTAGCAGCAGCGATGGCATTGTCTCTCACCGTACAGAAAGTATCCTGAATAGAAACCACAGAGATTCAGGGTCTCTGACCAATATCAAGAGAGCAAATGCTGATGTAGAAATAATAACACCACGAAGCCCAATGGGAAAGGAAAATATGGTTACTTTCAGCAACACTTTGCCAAGAGTCAACACACCATCCTTGGAAGATCCAGCAAGACGAAATGCAACAATACATGCATCAATGGATTCTGCCCGATCCAAACAGCTGCTTTCCCAGTGGAAGAACAAGAATGAAAGTCGAAAGCTGTCACTGCAAGTAATAGAGACTGAATCTGGCCAGTCACCACCGCGGGCTATCGAAATGAGGTCGAGCTCAGAACCCTCCAGAGTGGGTGTAAATGGCGATCATCACGGCCCAACTAGCCAATACCTGAAAATTCAACCTGGCAGTGTACCAGTTTGTAACAACTCGGGTCTTTCTGGCGGGCCAAGGGTCTCTATTCAGTCACGTCCCGGCTCATCCCAGCTAGTGCATATTCCTGAAGAGACTCAGGAGAACGTGAACACATCGCCCAAAAGTAGTTCAGCTAGAGCTAAATGGCTGAAAGCTGCTGAGAAGAGCGTTGCATGTAGAAGCAATAGCCAGCCAAGAATCATGCAAGTAATAGCCATGTCTAAGCAGCAAGGAGTGCTTCAGGGCAGCCCAAAGAGTTCAGAGGGAAGCACGGTCACCTGTACAGGAGCCATCAGATATAAAACCTTGACAGACCATGAGCCAAGTAGCATTGTCAGAGTTGAGGCCCATCCAGAGAATAACAGACCTGTAATTCAGATGCCATCAGAAGGTGAAGGAAGTGGGTCATGGAAATGGAAAGGTCCGGAAAAAGTCACCCTTCGTCAGACATATGAGCTAAATGATCTTAACAGAGACTCTGAGAGCTGTGACTCCTTAAAAGACAGTTATGGGTCGGGTGACAGGAAAAGGAGCAACATAGATAACAGTGAGCATCACCATCATGGAATCACTACGATAAGAGTCACGCCAGTGGAGGGAAGTGAGATTGGCTCAGAGACTCTGTCCATTTCTTCCAGCCGGGACTCAACACTTCGAAGAAAAGGTAACATCATTTTAATCCCCGAGAGAGGGAGCAGCCCCGAGAACACCAGAAACATCTTCTATAAAGGCACATCCCCCACACGAGCATACAAGGAATGAGAGGAGACATACCAGCTGGTCCGTACCACCACAGAGTAAACGCAGCTTGACACAGGTTCTGCTCTCTTTCTTTTGAGCTGATATTTGCCTTTGGTGTGCCAAATTATTGACCAGCAGCCCAACTGTTGTTGAACGCTGCTGATGTGCAATGTGCATGAGCCTGTGGAAAGCATGTGGTGGGGGGGAAAAGCACAATGCCAGAACCTAACTAATGTGAAACGTTTTCATGCAACTTGTTTCTTCGGACTCAAAATGTTTATCTGAGGGTGATGATGTCAATCAAAACAATGGTCTCGAACACAGACACTTTATTTCCTGAATGTGCCAACTTTTTATTTTATTTATATTTGTGTCCAAAATCGACTGAATTGTTCACAGCAAAGGCTGTATCAGTGGTATATATTCACCTTTGCAGAATTTGCACCGAATCTTTAATACGGGATGGTGCTGATGATAACTTTACATGTTTTGAAAAATTGCATACTTATTAGACTCTGCAAACACATGACATTGATGTGCAGTTACTTTAAAAGTATTATAGTGCTAATAATACTATGATGATGCTGGCTGCATTCATTTAGCGTAGGAAATATTTACAGCTTTGTTATAGTGGATCTGTCACATTCAAAGATTGCAAAGGTTTTGTGTAGTTCTTTAAGATGTCTACTGCAACAAAAAATGTGTGGGTGACATTCCATTAGAATGGAATAACTATCTATTTTGAATAGTTTTGCTGCTACTGCTCAACTTTTGTTTAAGAACAGGTGCTACTAATGAAGAGGCTGCTTCTTAGTGGGCTAACTTGTAGAATTGTTTTAAATTATGTTTTTTAAGGGGTCTTTTAAAGTACTACAAGTAATTCAGATTTTACATTTTTAAACCTCTTACTCTGTCCTTCGGCAACCCTTCCATTTTTCTGTCAGTTGTTAACCATATAATGCAGGACACCAGTAACTGCAAGATGTGCAAATGCGAAAGGTGAGCCATGAGTAAATAAAAATAAATGACCACTTTCCTGACCAGCTTCCAAGGAGACAGCAATTAATATCATAGCTCACGCTTAGAAGCAGTCATTCATCTCACTTGTTTAGCATGCCACAAGAACAGTCACAAGTTTCACCCCAGGCACCGTCATCTAGGGGATTTATGCTTCACTTTAAAAATGGAATGCCTTGGTATAGCAGAATCACTGAATGAGTGTTGCGTTGTGCCACTACTACTGTTCACCTCCCTTGAGACGCCCTCCACAGCCTTCTGAAGCATTATATTTTTTCCCACCACTGCCACTTAAGAATACGGAGGGGCTCTGCACCTGAGAGAACACAGATTATTTTAGTAAATTGAGCTTCAACTATAATGAAAGAACTTACCTGCTAAAAATCTCCATTGCCAAAAACTGTTGAAAGGATACGCTCTGAAAGGAATAAGCATAGCATGTCCTGGGCATGCTAGAAGAAATGCCTCATTACATTTGGCTCTGACTTAAATAACTTAAACCATGAAGGAAGCCAGGGGCAGTGCTCGCCCCGTGCAGCTCCTCATTCTCTCCTGGATTGTTTCCACCTGAAAGAGAACGACAATCAGACACCTCCCAGCTCCCCTGCTAGGAGGGGGAGGGAATGGCTTAGCAGTGCCCTCACTGAATTAGTAGCAGCAGCAGATCAGGTCTGTTCTCTGGCTTCTTGAGAGGAGTGTCTTGCCCTGTGTCCTCTTCTGATTTAGGGTATCAGAGAACCAGATACGTACTACATAGTCAGAGCCTGTCTACAGACCCTAGCCCACAGAACTCTGAGGAAAAGCCCACCCTACCCCAGCCAAGTAGGAGGTAGAAGGAAGAATCATCCCGTCCCAAGAAGATAAATAGCACAACGTACAGACAGACCAAAAAAAACCCCAACAAAGACCACAAAAAAACCTCAAAACCAAAAGAAAATCCCAAACCCAACCCCAATCCTAAGTAACTTCAGAAGCATGAGGATGGCGTTTGCTGATCTGTACAGAAGAAGGGATTCAGAGTCAATGGAAAGCTTTATATACCTTCCCAGTTACACAGGTGCTCCAGGCCTAGCTGAGTGCTGTCAGCCAACCCTGTCAAGCAATGCTTCCCTCACCTGCCCATCACCCAGTGCTGTGGAAGAGTGTCGGTCCTCAAGGAAATGACCTCACTTTTCCTGCTAGGAATAGGAGATGACCCCATCAGACATTTGATGATTGGGAGGAAATATTCTGCAGGTTCCACGTAAGAAGCTAACCAGTAGGGTTGCAGCATATTGTGTACGTTAAAGGCACAGTATGTTGAAGACACACTTTAAGGCGCACTAGCTGGGAAAAATAATCATAGATGCCAGGGAAAAAAAAAAAGAGAGTAATTTTTTAGAAATATGTTTTCAGACTCTAGTATTTACAAGTCAGGATTTGTTTTTTTCTTTTTAAAAGGGTGAATCTTTAGTCCTTGGTATTTAATATCAAATTTTGTACAAGGTTCCTAGGAATTACAAACACTTGGATTGTCATGAACAAAACCCTTTGGATTTAGTTTAGTCTAGGTACATGATAAAGCAGGTAGGATTAGCTTTAAAGAAATGGGTAAGACACAATCACTGTTGGCCTAGCAATGCAGGGAAAGAAGATGCAATCATTTGTTAGTTTGTAAGTGCAGGGGAAAAGAACATAAGTAGATGAACCTGGAAATAATGGAAAATTGAAATGGAGAATAATGGCAATAAAGCAAAGATTAGAAAATGTTCCCGCTGGCAATTTAGCTGTTTTGGAAACAGCAGGATTCCTGGTGGGAGTGTTTGTTCTTTATTCCTTGGTTTTAGTCAGATATATATTGGCATATGTGTTGCTTTTATTACTCTAAAACTTGCTGCACTATTTCAAGTGCAGTGTGATATTTTTCCTAAAGTTTCCTATTTCTTAACAAAAGATTTTAAAGCTCTTGTGTAATCATTGAAATTGTGTTCTTTACATAAATATTGATATATTCTTTTTTACTCAAAGTGCCAAAGGCTACTGTTTTTAATAATGGCTTATCAAATTATATTACATTAGAGAGCAGAAATGTAATAATATATACATTGGAACTCAGACCTCTGCATGTATATTTGATAAGGAGCCTTTTGTAAAATTACTCTTTGTTTACATTCCACTGATACCTTAATTTAAAATTAATCAAATAAATTGACAGGTGACATCTTCTTAGTGTTCTGATTTTCTTACTTGCTAACAGGCACGAATTTCTTTGTTAGGCTGTGCTTTACTGAGAAAAGAAAATATTCAAAAATAAAATATGTTTTTAAATGAGAATTCTCTATATAAAGTATTGTGTTTAATAAAATGTTATGCAATGTTTTCAAATGGAAGAGAATTTGTAAATTGCTATAAATGTATTTTGTTAAATAAGTACAGATCAATGCTACTGTGTGAGTTTATTGTGCTAACATCATGAAAATAAAGATAAAAACCCTCATTGATGTTCAGTGATCTCTGTGGTGAAGCGAAGTCTCATTACGCCCCCAAATTATTTTTCAGTATTAGGTATCTCATGACATGTGAAAGTGGTCATCAGTGGGAAACCTCAAAACTAGTCTAGTCTGGTCTACCCTTGATTGGCTTAGAGTAGACTTGGTAGTGTGGGTTAATGGTTGGACTGGATGATCTTAAAGGGCTTTTCCAACCTAAACGATTCTAGGATTCTATGATTCTATAAAACCTTGTGTAGTTGCGAGAAGTTATGAGGAACAGTGTCCAAACAAGCTCGTCTCTATCTAAAGAACATTTTGCAAAAAAAAAAGAAAGCAAGTGAAATGGGAACTTTAGGCCACGTGAGGACAGGCCTGCTAGATCATTCTGCAGGACCAGCTGCATCGCTAAGCCCCTCATGCCTCCCCACCACCTTGCTAGTGCTGGGTAGAGCTGCCGGGCACGGCGAGGCCAACTTTGGGTTTGTGGAAGAGAACAGGGCAGACGTCAGGAGCAAACCCGAGGGGAAGGGCTCTCCCCAGGGGAAGAAGTTAGGATGCAGGAGTCATCAGGTGACGTACAGCCTTTGCTGGCAACAGTGGAAAATGTTACGCTGCCAAAACCACAGTCCCCAAGCCCGTCTCGGCACACTCTGAAACGGCGCTAAGCGCCCGCGATGGAAGACGCTGCCGTAGCTGAGGCGCACGCAGACATTGCCAACGGCGTGATAAGCACCACAAGGACTAGCAGGGCCCCTGCAATACACGGCAGCAAAGCAGACTGCCTCCGGGAAGCTTTCCCACGTGTGCCTGGGCCTTTGTGCAGGCTGCCGCTCTGTAGCCGTGTGTCCTAGCGGGTGACCTGCCTCCGGTGGGCCGGTGGAGGCACCGGGCAGCTGATGGCACTGCTGGCTCCAGCCAGGCACCGCGCTGCCGAGTGACGCAACGTCAGACGTCTGCTGTGCTCCCAGCGAAGGCACCTTGGGTTGACTGCTGCCACCCCAAGCTGTGGTGCAGATCTGGGTCACTTGGCGATCCCTCTCCCAGGACTTCCATGACAATTTAAGACGGGAGCCCTTGGGCAAAAGAGACTCGGAAAACGGCGTGTTGTCTGCCAGAGAATGGGAAGCGTACGCACAGCTGTGACACCGCTCCCTCTGTGGTGACCGAAGGAGCTCTCTGCTTGGGGCTGGGCCTGGAGAATGTCCCGAGAGGCCTCTCCCTTGGCCAGCAGCAGACGCTGGTGTGGCAGGAGGTTATCTGCCACAGCGGACGACTGCCTCGAACGAGGCTGTGTGAAGCATGAGGGCTGGGGGCCAAGGTTATGGTGTCCCACCCTCTAGGACACGCATTGGTAGCCTGGGAAAGCTACAGGCAGCGATGGCCCGCGTATGGCTCAGAGACACCCTGGCAAGGAGTGCAAGAGAGTAAACCAGGTCCTGCTAGGGTATGACTGCTGAAAGCTGACGTCTAATACGAATCCGATGAGTTCTCCCCTGGGAATGGCCCCTTCCATGGACTCCAAAGGGGCCTAGACAATCAGTTCTAATATTTTAAAAGGCACATTTTAAACATCTAAAGTTAGGCTAAGAATGAAGTCCCCCTCTGAAGGGTACCTTTGGTGCAGAGGTTATATTATAAAACTTGCTCTAAGATGAGAAATTACCTCTCCTGACAAACCTTGTCTTATTCTCTTAGACCATTCTGGCTACAGCAAGACTGTCACTAAACTAAGAGAGCTCGCTGGGATCCAGATTGATGACTGTATCTAATCATGCGAAGTGTGAGTGACTAAACTGAAACTTAAATCTATTTTGTGCTCGATTTTAAAAGAGCTTCAGAGGTCTCGATATAAGAAGCCACGTAAGACAAGATTGTACCATAATCAGTTTGGTATAGATTTATGAAGACCTTTTATATGACAGATCAGTGCACAGCTGATTTGGCAGGAACATTTTAAAGGTATTACAAGCCTGGTTCATAACATTGTGAATAAAATCTCTTCACAAACCTTATAGCACAGAATGTATCAAGCATTGGACAAAACTAACAAGTGTCTCCATGCTGCACATTCAAAATGAAAGTAATGGAACTCCAGCTGCATGCATG